AAGATGCACTTAAAGGCAGCTTCATGTTGAGTTGCGCAACAGCGGAACCATAGGTGTTCAAACCACTGTTGTTTCTGATTTCCTGGACTTTGTGCTAAGTGCTGAACATAAATCCCCAAAATCGGTATCGGTTGTCCAACAACCTGGGAATGTGATGCAAAACCTACAATCACTAGTCAATGAACTGCCTCCTAGGGTCCACATAGTTGATGTAAGGCCCTCGAATTTGCTGGCTATAACAGGTGATGTGTCCAGTTTAGCAGTCTCAATGGCGCAGTATGACTTTTACAGTTGTTAAAAAGGCTCCATCCCATGTCGATTACCACATATTGGGTGGGAGATGCCATCAAAAACTTTTTCTGAGGTTATAAACTGTAAATTAACCGACCAAGAGGCCAGAGTTTGGAATTTCCAAGGTAAGATCTCACCAGAAGACATGAAAAAAGGGCTTTCTATACCTGGCGAGATGTCATACTTTTTATATCGATGTGTTAAACCTCGGAAAACGCGTGAAAAAAGTTTTCCACTCCTGGTGCGATGTGACAGTCAACAAGTTTATTCCATGCTTGCCGTTTCACCATTGAACTGAGAAATGTAGATACCAAGTACGAGCGTTCTGTTAACCTCTGAGGAACTTATTAGGCAAATGAAGGCTCACGACTCATGGCGACTGAGAGTAACTATCGCCTGCAGAGTGATTTTTCAGACATCTTCAAGACCAAGTCGAAGCAACCTCAAAGCACTTCATTGGTTCCTACTACACGTATAAGAGTTCATAATCAAATTTTTATGTATAAGGCAAGCTTATTGAGCATACTCCCCAGATGTTCTTACCTTGAAAGATGTGCACATTAGGCTCGTGGTTTAGAATGCCAACCGATTAGAAAAGGTTGCCTCCCATTGATTTACCGTCGATCATTCATGAGGGAATTTATTGCATAACATCCACTTATTCACCTGCATTGGAAATCTCACTTTTCCCACTCTCCAAAGCTTAACATTCATGATCAAAGTCCCTACGATCAACCCCTGGAGTCAATGAGAAACATGGCCGCATTTCCGCGAAATCCTTAAATTGCAGTCGGGACGGTCATTTAAGTGGCAGATCAATAAGCTAAAGCACAACTGGAGACCACCATTTTCCTGCTAGTAATTTAGTTTACAGAATACTTAGCTCCTCATATACCGATGGGTCGTTCAATTAACACTCCTTTCGCGACGGTTTCTTCTTGGGGAGATCCATCTGGCATGCACTGTACTCTGTCGATTGTCGATGGCAGTTCACTTGTCGACAGCGCCTCATTTGCTACCACTTCCAATACTGGCCCAAAGAGAATGAACTAGACTGGATCGCAGCCTTATATAAAAGACAACCCATATTCAGCTTCCTCATATTAGGAAGCACACCTCTTTTAGATACCTTTTGCTACCCCGCATATAATCCGTGTTCGTGATTAGCTAGATAGTGCATCCTATCGGAGTTCTTTCTTCCCAAAAACACTCCATAAATTGTCACTTTAAATTGAAGGCGGTCAGAGATGATTCATTTTAGTGCTACTAACCTGCACCTCATGGTTATCAGGACCTAGGATTTGTTCATTATTGAAGTGACCAGAAAAATTCAATACCTACCGACCTCAAGGCTGTCACGACCCGTGAAAACGGTGGACAAGATGTCCTAGAGGTCCACTTGACGCCTTCAAACAAGTCTATTGCTTCTGAACACTGAAGTCTGAAAAATGAAGATATTGGTTCTCAGTCGTAATATTCATCAAGATTGTGAATCTTTGTTGTGAAATAGTGTTAACACACATGAATTATAAATTTCTGGGACCATCGATGAAGTATAACAAATGAACAACTTGTGTATGCATTCCCTCACAAACTTTTCTTCATTATCCTGGGCAAAAATGGAAGTACTGGCTTTAGGCCATATTTTTCTCCGGGAAATGCACGTAATGTCGAGACACAAACCTGGCTTTTTGTTAACGCAGAGGCAATACTTCTACTTGCCTAACTCGTAAATTTTCTGCACACTTATTCTGCTGGAATATATCTCGATACCTCGATATATCTCTATCTAGAAGGGTAGAGTTTACCAACTGAGATGAGGGTTGCAACATTCCTCGGTGGACGTATTCAATGATGAACTGACTTTTCCCACATATCCGATGAAAAGATTGCCACGCGATGCCTAGCCTATCATCCGTCATGGTAAAAACTGAATAGATTAACGTGCATTAGTAGGCTGCTGAAGTTGAAACCGACTCTATCAAGAGCAGAGGGTTGCTTTATGTGGCACATTTGGTCCGAACGCCTTACATGTCAGACTGTGTAAGATTTACCGAATCGCCCACCCTTTGTACCCCGGATCACCTGAGATGGAAACCATGCTTTGTCGGTGAAAGACTTTGTGACTATCACACTGGCATCATAAAATACTGTTGTCAAGTTTGCATCTTCACGACTGAGTTAAACCAGACAGGAGAGACATGCAAGCAGGATATGGGATTGGTGTAGTGCATGCCCATGACCAAATGCTGTGACCCATTACGCAGGCACCTGGTGTAGTGAAGCTGATCACTACATGCCTTACAAGAGACTTAAGGGAGTGGCTTAAAATTAAAGAGGCATATAGGTTGAAATTTTGACCTGGAGCTGGAGGCCATCTTACGAGAGGTGGCGCGAAGGTAAACGAAGTACTATTCCCCTTGTGTCTGCAGCCAGGTGTCCTTATCTCGATGGCGCTTCATCAGAACCTGTGGGACCCACGTGAAACGCACCCTTTCGATAACAGAATGACTTTAGGCCTGAAGTAAAAGGACGGATTTTTTTATTAGCAAGGAAATGCCGCCGAAATAATCTGCCATGAGACCGGAAGATCCTTTAGGACGTACAGGTATGATGCGTGCAGACTGCAGGTCTGTGCTGTTTAACGTCTATGCACTTTGTATCCTGAATCCAGTCGTTTACAGCCAGATGTCATAATGTCATCATGAAAAGTGCATTTAGTGCTGTTAGGCAAGCCACGCGAAACACATGTGGAGCTTCAAAATCCTGGTTAGAGTACGCCTGATAGCAGCAACCAATGATAGATAGAATATGGAATACAGTAAAAGCATCACAGTGACGAGACCTCACAGAACAGAAATTCCATTCGTGTGAAAAAAGGCAGTTCTAATTATATGCGAACAAGCAGTTACAAGAATATAGCGACGTCAGTGAAGTAATGTACATGACAGGTTCGAAGGTAGTCCACTACGGAGGCAAGGAAGTGAGCTGTTGCGATTAAAACAAAGGTAATGGAAAGACATGAAGTGTGAAAAACAAAAATATCCATTTTGAGACAAAGATGCTTGCAGCAGCCAGTTCAACTGGTCCTCATAAAATAGCCACTTCGTGACGGCGCAATGGAAACCCAGCTGCAGATGTTGTTTGGGACCACCTAAATGTAAACAACATCTTTCATCCCACCTTATATGGGTTCAGAACCGGATGGCTATGTGCCACGAATTTCAAAACTGCTGGGGATGACTGGACCAATAGATGGAACAACAAGCAACCTGTTCTCGTTATCTTCTTGGACTTGGTCAAGGATATTGATGGCCACCACTCCACGTCATGTTTGCAAAACAGGTGTCACTGAACAACTTATTGCTCTAGAGCATATTTAGGGGACTGGGAATTATTTGCTAAGGTAAATAGAAACTGATCAGTCTGGAAAAGTACAAGAACGGGAGTTTTTCAGGAACAGATCCTTGGGGCACCCCTGTTTTTACCATTTATCAATGACCTCCCAGCTCAAATCTCGTCTATCCTCCTCTAACCAGCGAGGCCAAAATGTGGAGGACAAAAGGTGAGGTGATCTCTGACCCGGAGAAATGCTAGGTGATGTATCTTTACACATCAAAATTGATGCAAAACAGTAACACTTTGAACATTTCTATGACCCACTGATACCAGCGCTAACTCTGAGGGAATGGGGGCAAGTGCGACACCATTATGCACTTTCTGAGAGACCAGCTTAGAACACTAACTCTCGAATTATTCCATATGTTTTTTGAAACATATGTCAAACCAAACCTAGAGTTCTTCAGCACGACAGCCTACCGTATGCTAAATGGAAGATGCAGGTACACTCGAGAAGGTACGGAGGAGGACGATAAGACTATCTGTCAGAAGAACCAGGAAAACCTATGTGCAATGCCTTAGGCAAGTCAACTTGTTCACATTAAGCTATCGAAGAAAATGGGGCAGCCCCCCCAACAGACCATAAGATCACCCACCTACTCGATCCACCCAACAGGTCAGCACTATCGGTCCAAAATCGACAGTCATGCAGGAATCTCAGTGAAATACTCCTCCATAAGGGAAAGGCAAGAGTAAGATTCGGCTTCTTCTCACAGAGAGTGTGTGCTGTGTGGAATACTTTGCTAGGCAAGTAACCATCAGTTGTCTTCATCAAACAGCTTTCCATGAACATTGGCCGGAAGTAACTGTGGGTATGCTCATCCATCTCTGTGCTCCTCCAACTCTAATCTGAATTGGGACCCATCTCTTATCCGCATTATTGATAAAAACACTTAATTTTCTATAGGTACTTTCCACTCCTATTTTCCAATTCCCACTCGCCCTATTTCCCATACTACTTTCAAATAACTCCTTTTGCTTACTTTCGGGCGTTCACAGAAACCAGAATCGAGGGAAGTTAATTGGTTTTGTCACCGATTCTGTTGCTCCTTCAAACAAACCAAGTTACGATTTGCAAGAAATGCTTTCAAACAAACAATCACTACTTCCAAAGCCATAAGTTGGTAAGCTGTAAGGACTCCTGCCACCATCGAAGGGCTATAAACGAATAAATTAACCTAGCCTCAAGAGCTGGAAATGAAAGCTGAGAGCTACAACTTAACTCTGCACCCATTGTTGAAACTTGAAGTAGAGCCAGCTCAACAACGAAACAATGACGCGCAATGTTTGAGGACTACGTTACAAATTGCATGAGCTGTAGGTTGTTATGCGCATATCTAGGTAATCTTGTTTTGGTACTTAATTCTGTTACTACACAGATGATGTTACTTCTCATTCCTAACACATAAACTGAGTTTAGAATCTAAAACTGGTTTAATACGGGTGGTTTCTTAGATTAGATACAGCTGTATGGAAATGTTTCGAGAAGTTAAGACCAATTCGGCTTACAGACCTTCTTTGACTCCTTTGGTTCATATCTAGTGCAATATATGTTGGTGAAAATATCGAAATGAGCGTTGTTGAAGTATCATGCCCATCATAGTTGAGTGTTTTTTCTCGATACCAAGGATTCGGGCACGTCAAGCAATCATTTTATTGACCAAGGGATGTCTCAGGAAATTGAAGGCAGTGTCAGTTTGAATTTGAAAATTTGAGTTTTTTCATACTTTCACGTGGTGATGTGAAAGGCAAGTTAAATATTCAAGAACTTAAACTGCTTTGGACCTAGTCAACATTTTCGGAACAGGGGGAAAATTGAAAAAGACACGGGGTTATTCAGAGAGAAACTCTGGGCTAATCAAAAAGTACGCAGAGCATCCCGTGGTAAAACCGGGGGGAGAACACGGGGGCCGAAAACTCGAAGTTACGGGAGATCGTGCGTTTTGCCTCTGGTTTTCATTACAATTTTCAACAGCCCCCTTCGTTTGCCCTGCGTAAATTCTGGCTAAGGAGATGGATCAGGATTTTTTTAAGAGAAAAGAGAGCAAAACGGAGGCAGAGAGCTGGAAGGATAGTCGAAGCCAGTAACACCTGTTAGACTGACGGACAAATCATTGGTAAACTTTTCTGACCTAATCACTGTGTATGCGAAGTCTGAGATCTACTATCATTTCATTGCTTAGTTATACCCTTTCACCTCTGACCTAATATTAGTGAACTGGTATTTATATGTCATCCAGGCGTCAACGTTTTCTATATATGAATTAACTTTTCTAATAACAACGGTGAGATGAACATCAAATTTTGTAGTGTCGTGTTGAATAGTGTGAGAAAACCCTAGCGGGCGGCTTAAATAACGTTGTGCTTTGTTCATATCCAATCTAGAGGCATTACCACGGTATTTGTCGCCGAAAAACAGTTGGCAACCATATCATAATTGTAAACGCTATTCAGTTAATCATCTGGACACAAGAATTGCTACGTACAACAACGCAACTACCTCCTCAACTCGGAAATACTTTCTGCCGGTGATTCGTAGTCGTCTGGGCAGTTCAACTGCTATAGCTTTTGGCTCTTTTCGGGGACATTCACCAAGAAATATCTTTCTTGGTCTTTACATACGCACTTGGAGTATTCGGTCAAAGTTGCTGATAAAGTGAGAAAAACCGAGTATCAAGTTCCTGTTGGTAAGCTGTCTACTTTACAATTCATTCTCTTAATTTACATTATTTGTATAATAAATTACTTAACTATAATGGTACAAAATACCAGATGGCAAGCCCTTAATCATATAACGAGGTCTGCAGGTGGACAGAATCAAGTCTGTGCTGAAAAGATGGGTGCAGCAACACAACCACCATCTAAGATCCCCATAGCACTGTCACACCAGGCACAGCATTTGTTGAAACTGGCAAACCCTGTAGTTGGGCGATATACACGTGGAATGTATCCTGCCTAATTGTTATGTGGCTTGACAATTTTCACAAGAACTACAGTATCCACACGTGATATAACTTTCCTATAGGATAGGTGTTACGATCCAAGACTGTAGATAACGATGCAACGCTCTGAGACGAATGCGGTTAACGATAGAACAGTGACTTCTCAACTCGATATTTGGCGGAAGAAGACGATGAGACTGAAAGTTTATTCACTCCAACCGAATTATAACAAGTGAAAACTCAGTCGTTTATATATCCTTAGATGGCCCTGGCCAGTGAAAACAAAATAGTGTATTCAAAGTGTAAAATGGACCAATCAACGTTTAGTATTGTAAACTGTGGTAGAAATAAGAAACAGCAGGCCGCAGAAAGGGCGCGAAAATAAGGCTTAAACTTTACAATGATAATGTAGAAATATTGTAAGTTGGTTATCTTAGGGATTGGCCATCCCTAACAATAGGAACCCCGTGGTTGTTAGGGCTTCAGTGGTAAGCTAGTCATCCCAGTGTATGAGCATTTTACAATTTGTATCTTTGCTAATGAACCTCGCCTGGTTAACTAGTTTACTAGTTACTAGCCGGTCCTAAGCCCGGGTAAAGAGGGAAGGTTGGGCATAGGGCTAGCAACCCTACCCCGTAAAACAAATCTAACCGCTAAAGAAACTTCAAAGCACAAACAAAATATAAAAAATGAAAACAAACTTATTCCCCGCTGGAATCGGAGAGGCGAAATGACGCCAGTTGGTGAAAGCCTTCGGGAAGCCAATTGGCCGATGTGTCTTCTCTCGATGAAAGCGAAAGTAAACGTGGGGACATGGAATGTCCGCACGATGTTTGAACCCAGTAAGGCAGCCCAGATTGCAAAGGAGATGAGAAGGTATAACATCGAAGTGCTTGGGATTTGCGAAAGCAGATGGAATGGGAGTGGACTCTCCAAACTGTCAACTGGAGAATCAATAATCTACTCCGGTCACCCAGACGCCAACCACGAGCACACTGAGGGAGTGGCTATCATGATGTCCTCAAGAGCATCGAAGGCTCTCATGCAGTGGGAACCAATCTCCTCCAGGATCATGACAGCAAGATTCAACTCAAAAGGAAGAAAGGTCACAATCATACAATGTTATGCACCTACAAATAATGCAGAGCAAGAGAAAAAGGAGGAATTCTACAGACAACTTCAATCAACACTGGACAAGACGTCAGTTGGCGATATCAAAATTCTGATGGGCGACATGAATGCCAAACTGGGAGGGGACAACACGGGAAGAGAACTAACCATGGGTCGAGAGGCACTAGGTGAAATGAATGAGAATGGAGAATTGTTTGCAGAATTCTGTGCATTCAACGATTTGGTGATTGGAGGCAGTGTGTTCAGGCACAAAGATATCCACAAAGCGACATGGATTTCACCAGATGGACACACTAAAAATCAAATCGACTTTATCTCAATCTCAAGAAAATGGAGACGCAGTCTACTTAACACAAGGTCAAGAAGAGGAGCAGATGTAGGTTCAGACCACTACCTAGTGCAAGGAACCTTCCAAATCAAGTTAAAAGCCTTCAAGGAAGCTGGTGATAGACCTCAATTCAAGTACAACACTCGGAAACTGAAGGATGAAACTACAAAGGAGATCTTCAAGGCAGCCATCAAGACAAAATGGGAGACATCGAGGGACATCCCTGAAGAAACCTGTGTGGAAGAACACTGGAAGTCTTTGAAAGCTATGTGGAAAGAAACCTGCACAACAGTATTAGGAAGGAAGAAGAAAGAAGACAAGGAATGGATCTCGACGGATACCTGGAAGCTGATAGAGGAGAGGAGGATGGTGAAGCAGAAGATAAACCAGTGCAAGGATGCTCAACGACAAGAGGAACTGAGCACAATGTATAAAACACTGGACAAAGAAGTGAAGAAGAGTGCACGCAAAGACAAAAGACACTTCTACGAAACACTGGCAAGTGAAGCAGAACAGGCTGCAGGTAAGAGAGACCTGACGACATTGTATCAAATAACCAGGTTGCTATCAGGGAAGAGACCAACACAGATGAAACCAATAAAAGATGAAGAAGGAAATTTAATTACAAAAGAAGAGAAACAGAGGAAACGATGGGCCGACCACTTCAAGAAGCTCTTGAATCGACCACCACCTGCACTTCGTCCAGAAATACCACCTGCAGCCGCTGAACTACAAGTGAACATTAATCCCCCAACGAAAATGGAAGTCCTGAACGCCATAAAGCTACTGAAATGCGGGAAAGCAGCAGGACCAGATGGAATACCGCCAGAAGCACTGAGAACAGATGCAGAGACAACAGCGGACATGCTCACACCACTATTGCAGAAGGTGTGGAAGGAAGAGAAGGTACCTGACGATTGGAAGAAGGGTTACCTTGTCAAACTGCCGAAGAAGGGAGACCTCAGTGCTTGCAAGAACTGGCGCGGAATCACTCTCCTGTCCACCCCAAGTAAAATATTAAGCCGCATCATCCTGGAGAGGCTAAGGGATGCACTGGATTCAAAACTACGACCGGAACAGGCAGGCTTCAGGAAGTACAAATCATGTGCAGACCAAATTGCAACGCTTCGTATCATCATAGAACAGAGCATAGAATGGCAATCACCTCTCCACCTCAACTTCATCGACTTTGAGAAGGCCTTTGACAGCGTCGACCGAGAAGTAATTTGGAAACTGCTTCAATACTACGGAGTACCGCAAACCTTTATCCGCCTCATTCAACAACTATATGAAGATGCTACATGCCAAGTAATCCACAATGGGAAGCTCAGTGATGCCTTTGAAGTGAAGACAGGAGTGAAACAAGGTTGCCTACTATCCCCCATGATATTCTTGATTGTGGTGGACTGGATCATGCAGCAAACAGTAGGCAGCGAGAAGAGGGGGATACACTGGACGACGGAAAAGAACCTAGAAGACTTGGATTTCGCCGATGACTTATGCCTAATGTCACATAAACTTGAAGATCTGCAGGCAAAAACTAACAAGTTGATAGAAGAGGCAGCTAAGACGGGACTTCAGGTGAATATAGAGAAGACAGAAGTGATGAAGATACCGCACCACCACCATCAACAACAACAACAACAAACTCCAATCACTGTCAACGGGAGAAACTTAAAGGAAGTAACCTCCTTCACTTATCTAGGAAGCACTGTTTCAACTACAGGCGGGACGGACGAGGACGTCAAAGTCAGAATCGGAAAAGCAAGACAGGCATTCATTAGCCTGAAACCAGTGTGGAGATCTTCTGCACTCAGCATGCGGAACAAGATACGGATTTTCAACACCAACGTCAAGTCAGTGCTCTTGTATGGCTCAGAGACTTGGCGCGTCACGAAAGGTATTTCCAATAAACTACAGACATTCATCAACAACTGCTTACGCTCGCTGCTGAAGATCAGATGGCCAGAAAAAATAAGCAACAAGGAACTCTGGGAACGAACCAACCAAGAACCTATCACGCAACAAATATGCAGGAAGAAGTGGAGATGGATTGGCCATGCACTGAGAAGGCCGACGGAGGACATCACGCGTCAGGCCCTCGAGTGGAATCCCCATGGGAAGCGACGAGTTGGACGTCCAAGGGTGACATGGAGGAGGTCGTGCGAGCAGGAAATGAGAGCTTCTGGGCTGTCGTGGGACCAGGTTCAAAAGATCTCAGAGAACAGAGGTCACTGGAGGCGTGCTACTGAAGCCCTATGTTCCACTAGGAACCCAAGGGACTAATAATAATAATAATAATAATAATAATAATAATAATAATAATAATAATAATAAATCTTTGCTAATGCGATGTTCAGTATTCTGTAGAACTAGTATATTTTCTGTTTTGATTGGTGGGATTGGTAGGTTGCAGGATACCAGTCTATGGCTACTATTGAAAAATGTACTATCAATATAATTAGTTACACAGCGTATGTCTTGCTGCCACAAAAAGGTGCCTGAACATAGTGATTTCTTACATAGATATCTGTGACACCGAGTATTTCATCGAGGGATTACTTACTACAACCAGCTGTCCAGTCTGCTTCCGAAAGATTGAGGTCTCTGGGGACCATATTAAAAAATATGCACTATATTAGGAAGCATGAGCAAATAGATTGGCCATAAATGCATCAGTTTCCTCTGATGAGAATGCTGCTTAATATACACCGCCTACCAGGAGGTATTGCATACAACACATTATCTTCGATTTTTATTTGCCATAGCGGGGTTGCATATAGAAGTGAGACAGCCTCCACCACGATTATGATCTTAGTTTGTACGATAAAGGTTGTAGCTGTCTATGCAGAAGTCTACATCCAGTATGGGGGATGAACACTGTAATTTCATTATCAACACCACTGTCGGTTCGGTGATTAAAGCTGTTGTTCTGAGGGTAGACATTTTCCCAGATAGGGAGCGTGCACTGATGACGGGAAGTGTGAATGGGTTACTTCATTTAACCCTACCTTATTATGCTTGTTTCCGTATATCGAGTTAATGCCTGATGTGTAATTTGTGTTACAAACACACCGTGATGTCGTATACATGAGTACGTACATACATGTAATTTAATCTACGAAGTCACTCATATTCAAGTGGTTTCGGATTTCAAAGTTGGTTTGTGTGCTAGGATTAACATATGACGTTATTTGATCAGTATACTGTATCACATACAACTTTGCTGAAGAGAATACAGGATTTAATGAATATACCTTGTGAATATTACTGTTGTGTTTAAACACACTACACAATACATGTATTTATAATCCTATGTTGCTATTTGATAATACTCTCTACAATATTATTTTCATGAAATCTGCTATTGAATTCCTTTTGGATATCCAGTGATGAAACCTATAGTTATGTTATTCAGATTTACGGTTAAACATGCATTCCGTGTTAAGATATGCGGAAGTGTAATGCCGGATAACTATAATCGCGTTAGAAGTGGTGAGAGTGGATATAAAATTCCAGGTGGATAAAGTGGTTTACTCATCAATGGGTAATGTTTCACTGATCGCCGTGTTATTTATTTGTCTGTTACGTATTTCAAGCATCTCTTTTGTATATTCACCACTGGTTTGAAACATTACATTTTGTCTTATATCTTTCGATTTTTATTCACTTTAGTGTCAATTTTACCAAACCGAAGTTATACAAGAAGGGTGATGTTTTCTTCTGCCACCTTCATGTATATGTATTATATCCTACTGATTCCATCGACGCTTATAGTGGCTGTTATACTTTGTGTTGTCGCGTGGTTCGCAAAGATGTCATTTGTTAACAGTTAGAAAACAAAGTCAGTTGCAGTGACGTTACTAATCTACTTATTCGTTCGTTAGTATGCAAGCATACACACTGGATATCACTCAAATCTTTTGTTTTGAATGGGTTTGTATATACTGTAGCTTTTTTGACAGTGCTTATAAAATTCTCCTTAGAGGCACAGACTCATTCCTGTCATATTAAAAAAAATTCTGCTTTCCGGTGTGGTTGGTGGTAACTTAGACCATTACTGAGGTATATCAGGTCCTATATTTGTCTAAAACTGTTTGAAGGTCCCTGATTTACACAAAACATTATTTATTCATTTATTTACACTTTTTAAACTACAGTTTTTGGGCTTTTTTGAGACCTTAGTTAGTAATCCATTTCCCCTTTTTCTAGGGCTGTTTGCTCATTGATTGACGTTGCTTCTAATGTGTGATTGGTCGCGGGAGAGCAACCAATTTGATGTTGTATAGTCCTGGGTGCAGATCGAATCCTATCGATCATATGTGCAATGTGGCCACCAACCTAGGAAACTCAGCATCGCGGTGCACATTGGTAAATGTCAGTTGATTGGACGCAATTGGCAGGAAGCCCTGGACCTAGGTCTCGTGCTTGTTAGCACTTGTCAGCAAGCACGAAACCTAGATCCAGGGTTTCCTTCCGATTGCCTCCAATCAACTAATATCTACTAATGTGTTAGTGTTCCAAGCTCGTGACTAGGTCATATCCTGAGTGTGTATGCACATGTTCCGGGTTATTTTCAAATAGATTCAGTGGCAATAAACTCTCATCCAGAGCAGTCTTCTTCCTCTCTGTTTTCCGTCTGGGGTTTTGGAGCAGGTGTTATCTGGTGTTTAAGTTAACTATTAATTAGAATTGCTTGTACTATCTAATACTCAAAAACATAACGTTCTAATCACTGCTTTGCTGCAAAAGTAAAAGTTTACGTGGTCTTAATTTCCATTCAGCTTATATTGATACTATCTACTGAGTTTACGAAAGCACTAAGCAAAGAGAGAAAATCTCATTTTTATCTAAACAAAAATGATTCCAGTTGGAGAGAAAATGATTTTTTATTCAAAGGAATTGACTTCATGGAAACAGAACGGCAAAGTGAATTAACGAAATATAGTGTTAATCTTTATTTTTAACGTCGAATTTCATCCGTCTTTGCGACTTTTTATAAATACCAGTTTCTGCCTATACTGAAACCCAGTGCTTTAGCCTAGCTAATGGACATTCATATTGTCTAGCATAAAGCAGATAAATAGACAATGGATTTTCAGTATAATCGACTGCACTAATTCCTTTCGAACTGAGCAGAAGATAAACCGAATGCACACAATGGTTTGCTAACTGAAATGCTAAATCCGTCCATTTTTCGCCAGAAGAGGAAACGGTGACTTTGTAGCTCTCATGGCGACACTCGAGTAGGACTCATCTCAGTCATAAGCAAACAGAGCTGAGAACTTAGCATAAGTAATCAGTGACTTAGTTTGACGGTATTGTAAGCTTTGCAAACATTGAAGTTGAGGGTTCTAGGCAAATGTCTTGTTGAAAGTGAAGTAGTCATTTGCAAATACTAGGCGGGTTTTCAAGTATAAAAAACTCAAGCATTAGTTGTTTCCGAAACATTTAATGCCTTACGTAACAAAACGGAAACTGTGTTCACTACATTCTTTGATTTCGATAAATCATTCACAAGTCAAACGGTGCAGACATCTTGGTGTTAGATTGTCATCACGATCTGTCTCAAGGGGAACTAGTGAAAGTTACTTGATCACTTTTCATATACCTTGCTTTATCTTCGCACTTCAAACTGTCAACGAAAGAAGTGCCCTGGCGACTTTTGACTTTTAATGGGTATACAGCGTATTCAGGTTAAACATTAAATGTGGACTGATGCCCTTTCATCGCACTAGAGATCATTTAGCCCTCATTGTACATAGAATGCAAATGAGTAGAAGTAGGTTCAATAGGCAAAAATGTCTCAAGGTACTTGAGTATTTGTGCTTAGGGAGAACGGTTATTCTAGGACATTAGTAAAATAGAAGGGAAAGACAGGTGGCTACGTGTTTTATTTAATCTTTTAGGTATGAAGTAGACAGTAGATTTTATGCTATGCTAGTAAAGAACCTTAGTATTATAAAATTAAAGTAGTTTGATAGATCCTTTCATCTATCAAGCTGATATCTCGTTTTGGCCATATCTAGTTTTCTGCAATTTGATCTTGCTTCAGTTAACTTTGTATAAAGGCATATTCTATGGCTGAGCCATGCTTCATGTTTATTGAGCCACCCCAGTTTTGTCACAATTGGAAGTGATGTGATTTTGTAAGGCTAACCCATGATCACTGGGATCTTCATGTCACTCAGTATTGAATTGTTAAGTGGTTTATTCTTCAATTCGATACTCATATATCTTATGTTGATTGAAATGAGTCATTGAAACAGGTAATATATTTACATCTGCTTATATAATATTGAACTCGTTAGCGCATAAACAGTAAGTTCGGTAGGTATGATGTGAAATCATTGTTTATTTTGAAAACCAGTATATAATGTTATTTCACTTTTTTCGTTTATTTGAAGCATATCACATGACACTAGAAAAAACCGAACTTCGCTGATCAACTTTTTAATTTAAATAACATTTCACTTGTATGAGAAGTAATCATGAATTAGTCAAGAAGTTAATTACAGTTTGTGAGCTGTGGCTCATTGATTTAGGCAGTTGACTTTCAACTAATGGGTCACGGGCTCGAACACTTTTCCACCTCTGGGAGGTCTGAGCAGCCGGGTAGTATAAGTAGCAGTCACAATCAGTGTGACTCAGCAAGTGCACGAATGAGCGCATTTAGGTTCAATCTTGCCGCATATTCAACTTTAATATTTAGTTTCAGGCAAATACCAAATTAAATTCGGAAACTTGAGAATTCAAACAATAGCTTTAAATGTACTTAAAATATCTCGTTATTTGCAGTTTTTGCTTGATACCGATTGGCTTCAGTGATACCAAATCTTCTAACTATTCATCATCATCAATATCAACATATGACCAGGCATTACTACGTAACGGTCCCAGTTGCCACAGCTCATATCAGTACATCAAGTAAAAAGGCAGTGATGTGCAAGATGAAGATAAGAAAATTCAGTCAAAAGAAATATAAAGTACGTAAAGAGAGAAAGGAAGAATGAGAAAATGGTGAGAATTGGTATGGTGTCAAGATGAAGGTAATGTATGTATACATCTCAGCCACTGACACCGGTTCTGAGCCATATCACCTAGAGTCTCCAACCACTGGTTCCTCTTGTCCCGCGGACCTCAACCTGCTTTTCTGCATCTCCCTACATGGCTCAAACCAACAGTCAAACACTTCATACATTGGTGCGGTTTTAGTCTGGCCAGCCTGGACCTACTTCGGTCAACATTGTATGACGAGGCAATCGACGACTAGGCATACGTAACACATGTCCCAGCCAGCCACCTCAGTCGATGAATGTTCACAACCTCGTCAACTGATTTACCTCATCTCCCTACAACTCTACACCTGGGTTCTGCGTTACTCACGTGGTGACACCACAGAATACGGCCTATACTACGAAGGCAACGGTGGTCAAACACTTGAAGCCTTCCCATATCTTCCATTTCCAATGGCCATGTTTCACAGTCATGCAGTCGAACAGAGTGGACTGCTGTGCAGTACGCCATAGGTGGCGTAAGTTGACAAAAGCCAACCGAGCCTTTTGTATCCGTGCAGAAATTTCATCAGCCGCTGAGCTACCAGGGTTGATCCTACTTCCTAAGTAAGTGAAATGGTCGGTACACTCAATCACTTCACTCTATTATTAGCCGTGGCACCGTTGAAGGCCAATCCTGGAGCAGAAATTTGCATTTATGTGGTGAGAAACGCATCCCAAACATTCTCAAACTGCCACTCAAAGTGTTCAGAAGACTCTGCATCTTGTCAGCGTCTTCACCCAACAGGACTATATCATTTGTATATTTTAGGTCTAATGAAAATTCCCCTGCTATTAGGTCAACGTCTGTGTAACCTGATGACGAGAGGGAGACCTCCATAAGAATACCTATGATAAAATTGAATAAGAATGGAGATAGTGGGCATCCTTGATGGACACCACTTGATGAGCATAGCTCCCTGGACATCTCACCATAGGCTCTTCCACACCCACAAGTGTTCGAGTAGAGAGTCTTCAATAAGGTAATGTACTTACTCGGCATGCCTTTCAGTGAGAGACATTGCCATAAGACTTTTCGATCAACGGAGTCGAAAGCCACCACCTTCAGGTTGAGAAATACAGCTACTGTCGGGAGTTGGTAAGCATGTCTGTGTTCCAGAGCCTGGTACAGTGTGAATATTTGATCGATATATCCGCAGTTTTCTCAGGCTTGCTGTTCCCGAGCTCCAATCAGGTGTGGAAGAATTATAGAACCTATGGTCTTGGACACTATGTTCGTCAGGCTGATTCCTCTGTGGTTATCACGAGACGACTTGTCGCCTTTCTTGAAGACCGGGATAATCAGTGATTCAGACCAGTTAGAGGGGATCGTATTTAATTCCCTTATACTGGTTAACACTTCGGTTACCATGACTAAGAGCACTTCAACACCATCCTTGTATACTTCTGGAGTAAGTCCGTCTGGTCCTGTCACCCTTCCTCGTTTCAGGTTGCCTACTGCTTTCTTGACTTCTGCTAGTAATGGGGGCCCTGTCACAATCTCGCATTCAGGATCCGACTGGATAGCGGGCAACGTAATGGTGGCTGGAGGCCAGTTTAACTGCTCCTCGAAGTGTTCTGCCCATCTTTCTAGTCGTCTCTCCTGTTAGTGAATCTCAGACCCGTCCTCCGCTATAGTCTTGCTAACCGTTGTTGACCTTTTCCACCCAGTTTTCTTAATAAGTCTAAATAACTGTCTACCGTTACCAATTGCCGCTGCCTTTTCCATCTCTTTAGCCTTCACTGCCCACCATTGTTCGCGGTCGTTGCGTAG